TTATAAACTAATGAGCAATGAAAGAAACAGGCAAAGAAAAAGAAGCCTCATACTATTCTGGATACTCTGATGGATGGTAGGTAAGTTCAATGGCTCTCTCTTAGAATTAAAAAAAAAAAAAAAGGGCAAATAACACCCACAATACATAAGGGGCAATGATTAGTGTATGCACATTAAAAAATTTAAGAATATAAGTAGATACGGTATCCAGAAAGGTACAATAGGCAAAACATTAAAAAAAAATTAAGTACAAAAGAATAGGTAATTTGGGCATGGGAAGATCAATTACTTATACAGAAATTCTCCCTCAGCAAGAATTTAATTCTATAACATGGTTGGGTACTAGCTTAATTTGGATCTAGAGCAACTCTTGTAGAAAATTCTGATATTTTCTTCAAGCTTTTGACAGAAGGAAACAAAGCCTAACAAAAATATCGCTTCAGTCTATTTGTTTAAGAGATGTTTGCAAATCCATGTTAAAAAAAAAAAAAAGCTCTCCTAAAATTTTTCTCATTTCTCCAAAAAATTCCCACATGCCTACTGTTCACTATGAGTTTAGGAATGTAAAATGAAACATACTATACGGTTTCTAAAATCCTTACTGTTACCAGACTAACTGGTGGTTTGAAATAACCTATTTTCCATCTACGTTGAGGAGAAATTCAATCCTTTGTGATTTGTAACAGCAGAGTCTAGTTTGAAGCAGAAAGCAAGGCTGTAAGTCCCAGAGCCACTATGGGGAAATCTATCACTTGTTTTCATATACACTCATATTTGAAAAAGCAATTGTAAAATTAAATTGAAATTATATTTAGCAAATGAATGAGTTCAACAGAAATACTGTGATTCTAGGCTATAAAACTGATTAAATGTTAAACTAAATGTGAACAGATTTTAAGATAGCATTTCAAGATATAAAACCAAAGCAACTTTTTTTCTGATGGGAAATTTCTTCATGTACTTATTGTATATCGTAGCAAGCCTAATGCTTATAATGCATGAGACACAGCTGAACACCTGCAGGGAGGAGGCTGAGACAGCCTCAGTTTCGCTCAGGCCGGCCCTGCACTCGCTACGCAGCCAAGGCTGGGCCTGTGCTCACGGCACTCCTCCGGCCTCAGCCTCCCGAGTACAGGATTAGAGGTCTGTGCCATCATGTCCAGCAGAACTGCACCACTTTAATGAAATATTTGAACACTGACACTTTGCAAATGCTAGTTGAAAAACAAGTAAAATCAACTAAAGGATCAAGGTAACTTCAGAGATTGCTTTAGTTATCACAGTGTTCTAATGTCAATAGTATTTTTTCCTTATGGTACAGAGGATTGAATTCTGGGGCTCACACACGCAGGTGAACACTACCACTGAGCTACATCTTCAGTAAAATATTTGTAATGGTAAGACAGAATTTTTTTAAAAGCTCCATTTAATAGGAAAAGAAGGTCAATTTTTCATTTAATACAGAGATTTATATTTTCAATTCACTTCCTTTTAAGAAACAGTTCTATTTTTAGGAAGAATAGAGAAGCAAAATAAAAACAAAACCCTGAAAGATTAGGGGCATTAATTTATCTTGGCCCAACATGTGCAGCAATAGCTACACCCAGTGGCCACAGTTGAGCAGTGACGTTTTCTTAGCCATGTATTACAAAAGTGATTTTGAAAATGACTATCTTTCAATGAATTTCAGGTTTTAGGGTCAGTTACCATTTACTATAAATGAAGTTTTAAGAAAATCTGTGGCTCCTAAGTTTGATGCCGTAGCTAGAATAATTTAGTTCTAAGAAGTACTAAAATAAAACTCAAACCAAAGAGAGAACGTACAGATACTTTATTGCTCACCTTTCACACAAAGCACACCTCCAGCCATTTTCGTTCACAGCTTGACAATGTTTGTGTATACAAAAACCCAGCAAGAAGCATCATGTCACGGAGATTTCGGTAAAGGAGAATGTAAAACATCAGCTCAGCCAGGCTTTTGTTTTCTGCAGCAATAATGAAGGGCCTCCTGCACTAGGCAAAACTCTATCTTACTTTGTAGTGC